ATTTTAATAAAAATACTCAATTTTAAAGTAAACTATTTTATTTTATTTATATTAAAATAAATTACATAAAATCACCAAATTGATTTAAATTATTATAAAATTAAAATAGAATGCATCAAAATTAGTATTACATAATATTACAAAATTTTGTTTAACCACATATAGAATTTGATTTTTATTATCATAAAAAATCAACAAATTTATTAAATTTATAGAAAGCTGTAATTCAAAATTTTAGAAATTTTTGATATTTTATTTAAAGCAATAAATCCTAAAGAAAAAAGTTAAAAAATTCAAGAAATTTTAAGAAAAAAAATTATGATACTTTGTTATCAAATAGCAGAATTGCAAAATAAATAAATAAGTGATATAAAAATTACTATTAGATTATTTTTTATGAATCAAAAGTATTTACATATTATATTAATATTACTGTCAAAATAGAATTTAATATAATATTATCAAATAATATTTAATAAGCTTAATAAATTAAAAATATGTATCAATTATTATATTTAAGATTTTATATATTAGTTTTTTTAATATTAATTTTTTTATATTTAGAATTTTATTTTTTTGTATTAAATTTAAAATATTAATTTTTTTTTTATTAAAAAAAATATTTTTTATTTTATTTTTTTTTTAGTAAAATAAATTATAAATTATAAATAAAAAAATTTTGATTTTAAAATATTAATTATTTAGTTTAATTTAAATTCTAATCTAATAATCTTTTAGTTATATATATAAATGATTATTATAATATACATGGAATCTGTATTCTATCTGCAAATTCTATTTTACAAATAGTTTATATAGTAATTATATTATTTAATATAATCTAAATACTACTAATTTCTTATCTCTCTGATTATAACTTTTTTATTCATAATTCTCATAGTGTCAATGCATTTCTTTTCAAAAAAATTTGTAAAAAATTTATTGTAAATTTTGCTAAAAGTTATAACTCGATAAAATTAAATTATAATTATAATAAATTTAATTGATAATTTTACTTAATTAAAAACTAAACAGTTTATTCTTATGTGTAGATATTTCAGAAAAATATCATTAAAAATTTGATAAAATGAAATTAATAGATTGTATTAAATTAAATTTAAAGAATATTAAAAAATTATTTAAAAATTATTAATATATTTATTAGGTTGGTATAAAGATAAATTATAATTAAAAAATTTAACTAACTTACTTTTTTAAAGATTACTAAAAATAAAAAATATCTTGAAAAATATATAATTTTACTTTTAGTTAATTTTTCAAGCTAATTATTTATAAGAAAAGTAATTATAAATAAAAAATTAAAATTGGAATTAGAATTATTTATTTCAAATATAATTATATACTTAATTCTATTTTTAGAACTTCTTTATATATCACTTAATATATGTAAATCTATATTAATTATATTTTATTCTTTTTTAATAACATGTATAAATCTGTTTTTGATAAGACTACAAAATTAGCATAAAATCTAAACTATAGAAAATAAATCTTTTATTATATTTAGCATATAAAGGTTGGCTTTTAATTAAAAATATATTGTAAAAAGTTTAAAATATCCAAAGAGATCATATATTACTTTTCTTGATTTGTTAGATATTTTGATATTAATAAATTTAAAAATATATACTTATTTATTATTTAAAAAAACAAATTTGAAAAATATGTTGATATTATATTTTGATTTTAAGCTGTCATATAATGATTTTATAGGTATAATTATAATAAAATTATATTTGTCTTTTTGTTAGATATTTCTTATTGAAAAATAATATAACATCTGATACTTAATACTTTAAAAATACATTTAAATATTTTTAATGAATATTAGGTTAAAAATTTTTATAGTTTATTATATTATTATACTAGTACAAAAGTATTTACTAAAAAATTATTGAGAAGAGATGTATTATTTTTAGATCATTATCAACATAAAAATTTTTTTGTAAAGTTTTTTAAATCTAAATGTGATTATTCTTATTCAAAAAAGATCTTAATGATTTAATTAAATTATTAGTTAGATTTCATTTGAAATTTTTAATAATTTATGAAAAAATCCTAATAAAGTAAATTAAAAAAAAGAAAGAATAAGAATTAAAAAAGATTATTATTACTTTTTTTAGTATTGAACATAATTTTCTTTTAGTGTATTATCATTAGAATATCATTCAAAATATCAATCAGTAACTAATAAACTATATAATTACTATGAATATATGAATTTATCATAGAATAATAGTCAAATATTAATTTGTGAACATAAATATCATAAAATTTGCTTTTATATTTTAGGCTAATATTATATACATTATTTTAATTACCTTTCTAATTCAATTAAGAAATTATCACATTCTTATAATTAAAGTTTATAAGTAAATAAAGATATTAATAATTAAATAGACTTTTAAATACAAAATCATAAAGAAAAATTAAATAATATTGAAGTTATATCAAGAGAAATTAAAATTAATATAGAATTAAAAAAAAAGAATATTAAATAAGTTGATTTATTCTTTTTTAATTTTAATTTAATTTTATATAATTATTATAAAATTTAACAGAATTTATTAAAAATTATATACTGGTTAATTTTAAAATGTAAATTTTTTATTTATAATTAATAAATATATTACAAATAAAGAGTTTTTAAATGATTTTAAAGGGTTTTATATTACTAATTAAAAATTATTATTTAAAATAAAAAATTTAATTTTTTTATTTCAATAATAAATTTTTTTAAAACTTATATTACATAATATTTATTAGCTAATTAATATTGATTATCTCATGATTGTTTTATAAGAATTAATAAATCACTATTTTTATAAGTTTAATATAGTTTTTCTTAAATTTATAGATTTTTTAATATAATTTTGCTAAATTTTATCTTTTATTATTTATATAATTTGTAAAACTTTTAAGTTTATTTAATAATCTTATTTTTATATATTTAAAAGCAATTTAATTAAAAAAAGTATTAATTAATATATATATAATATATATTTTTTTAATAATATAATTTTTTTATAAAAATCAATTATATTTTTATAATAATATAAATTTGAAGTTAAAAAGATATAAATATAAGATTATTATATTTATAAAATATATTTGATATATATTTGTCAATAAATATTTTAAGTTTATTAAGAAGATTTTAAATAATTTAAATTTTAATATTAAGCTTTAAAAAATTTTTATATTAATTTGTTTAAAATTTTTTTAACTATTTATATATCATTTTACTATTAATAAAAATAAAAATCAATTATAAAATCTACTGATTAAAAAAAGGATTTTAGTATATATAGTAAAGTTTTAAATTTTGAAGGTTAATAATTTATGTTAATAATTCTAGAATCTTATTTACATCAATAAAATTATTAGTTCAGAGCGAAACAAAGGATTATATATTTTTTAATGCTGTAGTTACATAAATGTTTGTCTGTCTACCCACTCAAAATTTATGTCAATACGTAGTTGATCCTTTTCATTACACTTGTATTTCAGACTTAACAATGGTTTTCAAAACCGTTTCCTAGTTAATATAAATTAATATTAAAAAAAGCAATAATGATGGATTAGATTTTATGTTATAAGTTTAATAAATTAAGATTGTAAGAGTAAAGTTTGATTTTATTAAATAAAGAAATTGGATTTATATAATTTAATAATTTCAATAAGTACTTGTTCACAAGCTTATCAAATTATGAATTCTAGTTCTTCTTAATATAATTATCTTTAAATTAACTTAAAATTAACTAAAGGTAACTATAAAATTCCTATTCTATTTATATAAAATTTTTGACTTATTTATATTATTAAGAAACTATAAAAACATTATAAGTATCATTTACTTCATTAATAAGTTTTTCCAAATAAACCTTTTTAACTATATTAACTTTTTTTTTTTTTTACTGTCATAAGTTTTTTTAACTATATTAACTTATTATCTAACATCATCGTTTTCGTCGTTTTCATAGTTTCGGTCGTTTGATCATCGGGCCGAAGTTAAGGAATTACGGCTTCGTTTGGTAGTAATCTGCGGAATTATATTTGATTCTTCTTTTCGAAACATCTCGTCAACTATTAGTCCAATAAGGTCGTACTTATATTCGTTGGGAAGCTATCAATGAGACGGATTCTAATGGTAGTATTTCCATCGAAATCCAATCTTTATGTCGAAAGTTATTTCATTTAACAATAATAAAGAATTACTTAAAAAAAATTAAAAAAGATTTTTTTTATAGATGAATTGTATGTAAATCAGATGTGTGCTGGAACAAAATGAAAAATTTGTTCCTAAATGAAATAAATATATGTAACTTTTATCATCTGATTCAGAACATTATATTTATAAATGATTTTACATTTAAATTTTTTGCATTTTGCCCCGGAGGAAATCTTCAAAATAAATGCAAGGAAAATATATATTTATTTAAAGGATTTTTTTTACATATCGTAATATCAAGTATACACCAAGTTATACCGATTCGTCATTCGCACTTGTTCGTGTTGAAACATCATTAGTTTTACTATTGTTCATATTTATGACTGTTGAATTTGTTTTCCCATCACCTTTCTTTTCCGTAGATTCTTGTGTTGATTCTTCTCTTTCCCTTTTTGCTTTATTTTTAATAAGTATGCAAGCATTATTAAGCTTTCCTTTTTCTTGTAGTTTTGCTAATTTTTGAGCTATCATTAATTCATTATCATCCTCCACACAATAAAACCATTCGCCCAAAATGATCCCACCTAAAGTAATAAGCAAAATAATTTCGGGTATACATTCAAACGCATAGAAGGTCCATTCATAATTATTAACAGGATGGTATTCATTTGCAAAAGAAACAAAAGTTCTATAAACCAACTCAATCAATAATAATGCGGCTGAAATGAATAAAACCAAAGCTTTTAATTGTTTTCTGATTGCCCCATCCCCGTAATTTAATGCAAAATAAGTAACTAATATTATGTAAATGATTACCAAACACAAAAACCCCAATGATGAAATTTGTCGGAAAAAAGGTACTAATGCTACATGAGTATCAAATTCCAATATTTCCCCCATTATTCCTACAATCGAAAATGCTGGTGATAAGATTTTCAACACTTTTAATAATAAATCTTCACAAGTTGACAAAGAAGCATCCGTTGTACCAAACAAAATAAGGAGCCAATCCGATAATAATGTATATATAGCTTCGATTATCACAAAAAATCCTCCTGATAGTAAAATGTTCGATGTTATCCCGAGAATTACTGAATCAAGTTTTTGAGACCAAGCGGCGCGAAAAGCAAAAAGACATGTTCTTAATAAACTGAATGTAAACAAGTATGCATATATCTTTCGCTTAAATTTTATTAATTTTTTTAAGTGAAGTAATGATGTTGCCACAAATAATATGACAAAACATATTGAAATTATTAAAGATGGTATCGTTGAATAATATAAAATGACCGATGTAGAAAGTTGTAATTGTTGTGATGGCATTATTATTATTTTTTTTTTTTTTTGGATGTAAGGAAAATTCTTGATAGAATTTTGATAAACCGAACGGGGAATTTTCTTAAAAGAGTTTAAACTTTGTATTATATTTGATGTTTGACGAGTTATTTAGGCAAAAAAAATTTTCCCTTATTTTTTTTAAAAAAAAAAGCCTCGATTTTTTTTATTTTTCGCAAAAAGATTTTTTTTAAAGGAATTTTTTTTCAAATTCGTTATGAAAATTAGAAAGTAAAAAATAATCAATGTGGTTCAAAAACTCTTGGCATAAACATTGACATTTTAAGCTATTCCTAATTTAGAATTGCCAAGACAATTTTGTCGAAAAAATCGAAACTATTCAATGCCAAGAAAAATGTTGTGTTCAAGTACTGCGGCAAAAAAATCACGTGATCGATGAATCCATAATACCCACTGCAATTTTTTATTCGAATGCGATCGTAAAAATTTCTACTAAATGTTATTCTACTGAACGAATGCTTCTCCATCATTTCGATTTTAAGATATTATAAAAAAAAAGAAAAACAAAAAAAAAAATCGAATAAATAAAATTTTTCTTTTTTTTTTCTCTTATTTGTCCTTTTTGTCCCTTTTTCCTTTTTATTTTTATTTTTAATTTCTTAATTTCTTAATTTTAATTTTAATTTTTTTTTGAAATAAAAATTCATTAATTATTTATCAGGACGTCGGTTGCTTGGGTGAAAAACAGTTTCCCGGTCGTTTTTTTTTGTTCAGTCGATCAACTAATCCAAATTTAAAAATAGCAATTAAAATTTGTACAACTATACTTACCATTATATGATTTTGAAAATCAGAAAAATTTTGTTGGAAATAAGATTGAGTAAAAAAGTTTAAGATGAAGTATATTTTAAGAGCTTTGGCTCTAGGAATAGGGCTAATCGTAGCAGTCATTAGTAAAATAACTGAAGCAGCTGGTGGTAAGTTCTATTATTTCGTTGATCTTGAAAGGTATTTCGTTCTTTGAGTCTCGTAACACGATGCGTTATTGAATATTTTATTCTTATTAGCCTCAGAGTATTTTGTAAGAAGTTTACCCGGGTTACCAGAAAATGCAACCATAAAATCTCATGCTGGGTAAGTTGTTTAATTAATGTTCTATAACATTTTTTTCTCATACGAAATTTTCTCATAATTTTACTCGTTTTTATTTAGTCATATTCTACTTGATCAAAAAACAAATTCAAATGCGTTTTTTTGGTTGATTCATAATCAGCATATTTCTGATACTCCTAAATTTGTAAGTTTCACTTATGTTGAATGGAATGGCTAATTAATATTTTGTTAAATCTTTTTTTTATTTATTTACTTAATTAGATCATCTGGCTTAATGGAGGTATGTAGAATTTTTATGATTATTTTCAAAAGTTGAAATTCAAAAATTCGACTCATAACATATTTTCGTACCTATTCTGATAGGTCCTGGATGGTAAGTCTTTAGATCTTTTTATTTTTAAGAAAGAAAATTGATTAATTTTTACTTTATCTAAATACCAATCCGAAACAATAGTTCAAGGTAAGAAACTTCTTTGAAGTAAAGTTCTTAAAGTAAAGAATTTCATTAAATCGTAATTTATTGATATAGCATGGATGGATTATTTCTTGAGAATGGACCTTGGAGAATAAAGAAAGATCAAACCTTAGAATTAATCGAAGGATCATGGAATGAATATGCAAATGTATTATATGGTAAAATTATAATAATATTAATAACAATAATATCGGATATAAAAATTTTTTAATCATATTTAATATCAATTAGTTGATTTTCCTGTGGGAACCGGGTTTAGTTTTGCCAATAGTAATAGCTATTCGAAAAATGTTACACAGGTATATATTATCTGGTTTACAAAATGTGAATCAGGTTGAACTCGATTTAACTCGATTTTGTATTAGGTATCACAACAATTCTTATTATTTCTTGATAAATTTTTTGAAATTTTTCCGGAATACACCGATGATGATGTAAGTTATTCTTTAATGTAACTCGAATAAGAAGCGACTAGTCAATTAAGTTCGCATGTATTTAATCTTAGATGTATTTGAGCGGAGAAAGCTATGCCGGAACATTTATACCATACATGGCTTCTTCCATTTTGAAAAGAAATAGTGTAAGGAAGACTGCCGAGAATAAAAAGGTATGCGATATTATAAATAAGATCATTTCTTATTATTAAACTTTTATTCACTCTATTGGAACTGTTATAGTATAATTTAAAAGGTATTGCTATCGGCAATGGATGGATCGATCCGGTATCCCAGGTATGAATCAATGATTTTGACTAGATTGATATTCGTAATTAAATTATAACATATTAACACATTATATATCTTATTTTTTAGTACAATGCTTATTATACTTTTACGGTTGAAAAGGGGTTATTGGTTGGAGAAGATAAAGTAAGGGTTATCAAAAATGCTTCTTTCTTTGCATGTATATTTTGATAACTTACCTCTTTTTTCTACTAATATTAGAATACAGCTGAAAACCAATTGGAAAAATGTATGAACGAACTAAAAAAGAAACCAGCCATACATTTAGATATATGTGAACAAATTCTCCAAACAATCTTAAAGCATTCCAAGGACAAGTAATTTATTCACAGACTATATTTGTATTGATTATACTGAATGATTTTCAGTTTTATAATTTTTTTTTTTTTTGGTTGCGTAGAGTAGGAGAGAATGAGACGTGTATAAATCAATACGATATTAGAGATCATTCAGATACGTATCCTTCTTGTGGGTTTAGATGGCCTTATGAACTTTCTACCATTACAGAATATTTAAGGGTAATTTTAACTTCTCTCATGTGATAAGCTAGTCTTATTCTAAAATTATTCAACTCTTTATTTGTAGAGACCGGATGTTATTGGTGCTATCCATGCAGAACAACAACAGATTGGATGGGTTGAATGTAATCTTGGGGTTGGAAGAGATTTTGATAATGATCCAAATCCACCGTCCATCACAGTACGTATAAATATTGTTTAAATGGTAGCATTAAATTTCATATATTGATTTTTCTCATTAATGGATTTTGTAGTTACTTCCGGATTTATTAAAACAAATCGATGTATTATTATACAAGTATGTATGACGTATAGATTTCTTTATTCAAGTGTATTAATTATGAAATACTAATGTTTTTATTACTACTAGTGGAGATCAGGATTTGATCTGTAATATAAATGGAATGCAAGATATGTTGGATAATTTAGAATGGAATGGATATAAAGGATTCAAGGTAACGAAACCTATGATTATGATTTTGATTTTTTAATTTGTTTCTAACCACAAATTATAACTTTAGAACCTTACAGAGTTATCATATTACGTCAATAATACACAAGTAGGACATATATTAGCAGAGAGAAATTTAACCTATGTTGTAGTATATAATGCTAGTCATATGGTACCTTATGATGCTCCGTTAACTAGTATGGACATGATGTATAGATTTATCGGATTAGATCATCATCTTGTTAATAAATGGCCTTCTGCAATTGGAATAGAGGTGAGTTCATTTTATTGAAAAGAGGATTTTGAAATGTTAATTCAAAAACCTTTTTTTTTTTTGAAATAGGAAAATGAGGTACCCGATTCGAATGAAGAAAATTGGGATAAGTATTACAATGTGTCAGTATTATTATTGTGCCATTTTTCATCCTTATTCTACACCTTTTTCTAAAATTATTTGAACAAACAATTTTTTTGTAGAGGATCATTTACACTTATAATTGTAATAGGCGGATTGCTTGGATTAGGAGCATTTGTGATTCGTAATAAATTAAGAAAACGTAGAAATACAAGTCAAGCTATGAAGGCTGCTGTTGTAGATGAGTCGGGAGAAATGTACGTAATCTTTTCCCTAATACCAATGTTTTATATTCAATTAATAACAAATATATATTTTTTACAGGGAAGAATTGGTAATCGAAACACCATTGTTCCAATCAGATGACGTGGATCATTTTGGTGACAGTGAACCGGAAGATGATAATAATGCATCATCAAGTAGTAGTCGAATTCGCGAAAGAAATCAAGGTAGCAGATATCAAGATGAAGATGATGTTAGAGACGAAAGAATGAGATTAAGACCTAGTGATGATAGATAATTTTAATTATATTAATTATATTAATTATTTATAGATTATTATTATTATATTATTATTATTATTTAAGCAAAAAGAACAATTATTAGTTTAAAAAAAATAATCCTTATTCTGATTAAAAAATTGTTTTAACCTTAAGATAGATTTTAGACTTTAAATACGCAAGTGAAAGATGTCCGAGAATTCTCATGAAAATGCATTGTTGATTGATTTCGTTTAATGATAAATTATTATTTGCAATTATAGACAAATATTTTGATTATCTTGATAAAATTTGTAGTTAAGTCTTGATAGTTTTTTTTTATATCGATCAACTAATATTAAATAATTTTATTTTACTTCATAACGAAAGAAATTTCATTATTGGATCCTAATAGGATGGCAAATTTTATATTTATGGTCTTAAGTGATTGTTTTAATCACGTTTCTTTTTCAGATCTTTCATTTTATTTATGCTTTTTTTTTAACAGAATTTTTTTTTTCTCGCTTTTTTTTTTTTTTAAAAAAAAAAATTAGATTGATTAATTTTTCGCGTTTTTTTTTTTTTAAAAAAAAAAACTGGAAATTTTTTTTTTTTGATATTTATCGCGTTTTTTTTTTCTCAAACTAGCAATTAATTTTTTTTGACTCGTGTTCATGTGCGTTATTGCAGCCATTGCTAAAAAAAACTCTTTTCAATCAGGTATGATTCCAACTCTTTTTTTTTTTTTGTAATACAGAATTGTATTATTTTTTAGTTCCTATTGATGAGATACTTTTTGAATTTGTCTACGCATTCAAGTTAAATGTTTAAATGTCTATCCCATAAAAGATTGAACAATCCAAACGTGAAAATACTTTGTTCAAAATTTTTTTTTGATTATCGTTGATTTTTATCAGATCGTTCATCTTTTTTTTTTTTTTTTTTCGGTTGGGGCATACATAAAAAGAAATGGGTGGTTGAAATAGAATAGCGTGTGAGAAACCATGCAAAAAGCTTAAAAAAAAAAAAAAAATTTTTTCAGGTTTTTTTTTTTTTTTTTCCTTCTTCTGGAATTACACATGATCATATGAATTGTCGAAAGTGTTATCGTACGACATTAATTTTCCTTTTCATTAATTCATGCTTCGTTCGAAACACGTTTTAAATCCATCAATATGAAGTGCCATTCTAAAATTAGTCATAAATCAGGTAATTCATCAAAAGGCATTTCCCCGAGGTCACATTACAACTGTACAAGATTATCGGAAAAAAAATGTTAAAAACGTCAATTTCAATTAAATTAAGTTAAGCTAGATCTGCAAAACAAAGAAAACTTGAAAAAAAAAAAAAAAAAAAAAAAACATTAACAAGGTAACTATCCCTTAATTAGGATCTGCAACACAGAAACCGGCTAAATTTGCTCACTCCTTCATCACAAGGCAAAAAAAAGTCAAGGTAATTATCCTTTAATTAGAAAAAAAGGAAAAAAAATTTTTTTTTTTTTATCCCTCAAAAAATTATCACCTCCTTTCTCAATGACTCATATCTCAAAACTACTCCGTAAATTTCCATTACATTACATCAAATACATTCCGCTTAGCATACACATGACAACGATCATTAGTTCTTGTATCATCATTTTCATGTAATTAATTAAAAAATGCTGCTCTTACAAAAAAAAAAACGGGAGATTAATTAAAAAATGATAACTATTTGTTTATGATGTCTTTGTGGCCTATGAATGTAAATCACATATATCATGAGATGAGATTAAAAATTTTTTTCGTGCTAAACATTACTAATGTTTTGGAAAAAAAAAAAAAAAGGTAAAACGTTACCCATTCTCCCAAACATATTTTTATTTTCCCGCGTAAATTATAAAATAAGGTTAATTTTAATACTTTTACTATTATGTATGCTATTTACGTTTGTCAAACAATGTGATGAAGTTTAATTTTAAAAATTCGTCATTTTCAAATTTCCTTAACATTACATATCAATGAATCATGAGACTTATACTAAAATATCTTATTAGTCCTGTATCACCCACATAGCATGAAACTAAAAATATCATATCTTGTTTATCTTTGTTTGTATTACAATTTTTTTTTTTCTTGTTTACTTTGAAAAAAATTGGAGATACACATGATTGAGCGGTTAATGACTCATTTGGGGAGAATTATTGTGATTATTTGGTTTGTATTTGTAGAATGTAATGCACGTAAAAAGGTTTAGCTCGTTCATTACTAAAATTACTCGATTTTTGAGTTTCTTTGTGTAATTCATGGATCTACAACCTTAATCATGCAATCAATTAAAAAATGTTTTCGTGCAAGGAATCGCGTATCTTACGGGGCAAACATCTAAAGTCATTGAAAAAACGGGATCGCGGAATTTTGGACCTTGTGGGTACACATTTGTATTCCTTGATTTGAAACTCTTTTTTTTTTTAGCTTGGAATTTAAGATATAAAAAGGTTCAAATTTCGCCTTGAGAATGTTTCCTCGTTCCCATACCAATAAATCTTTTTTTCTATACAATCAAACAACTCTTCATAATTATTATTTTTGAGCGTCTAATTGCAAATATATTAAATATTTTGATTTTTAAAAATTAAAATTACCTTCCTTACAATATTTTTGAACGTTTTACTACGTTTCAAAAAAAAAAAAAAAATAATCTTTTTTTTTTCATATTTGCTTTAACGATTAATTTCTTATTCTTTTTAACGTAAAAAAGAAAATTCATTTTTCTTTTGCTTTTTTGCTCTACAAACAACATTTCCCCCTCTACTTTACAACTCTACAACCTTTTACTCTAATACAACTCTTTTAACAACAAAATGTCTACCAAAGTTGCAAGACATCCGAAACAAGACGCTATCACCAACTTTTTGAAAGTCCCTAAAAATTTTAGAAAAGATGAAGTTAGGGTCAATAACACCTTTGGTTTCACTCCGGTATGTAATAATAAAGTTTAAATGTTTGATTGTCACAAATGTTTAACCTTTAATTTGACTAATGTTTGAACCTTTTCTTGATCTATAGTTTGACAGTGTTCAAGCGCGGAAAGCCTCCGAACTCGCCGCTCAATTTATGATCGTCGCAAACTCCAATCCTAAAGATACTATTGACCACGTTCTCGAGTTCGTTCAGAAACAGACCGAAACCGTTGACCCCGAATTAGTTCGCTGGGCTTTTATGATTTTCATTGCTCATCATCCGGCTGCTCGTGATCAACAATTACGTATTCCTTCATTGGTTAACCGCGCTCCCCAATTGACCGTTCCCAAGAAACCTCAAGTTCCACTCACGCCGGGTCCCATCATTTCCGATAAACCGCCCGCACTGCTCACCGAACAACTGGAAGGTGACGTGGAATTGTATTTGGACTGGTTCAGAGAAGATCCTAATCTCAACGAGCATCACGAACATTGGCATATCGTTTATCCCGGTGGTGGGGTACCCGATCCGAGCAATCCAAAAATCCGTATCCCAAAGGATCGTCATGGCGAACTGTTCATCTACATGCATCGACAGATGCTGGCCAGGCACGATATTGAACGTCTAGCATTGGGTATACCTCTGATCAAGCCTTTGGAAAATTACCGAGAACCGATTCCACAAGGATATAATCCTAACGAACATTTAGTTGATTCAAGTGATGATTCTCCTTATGCAACTCGTCAATCCAATAAAAAACTTGGAAATCTGGGTAAAGGAATGACGGTTGAAGATTTGGAATCGTATCGTGACGCTCTTATACAAGCTATTGATAGTGGCAAGTTGGCCGGTAATATTGATATCACCAATAACATTCTGGGTTCCACCATCGAATCTTCCGACGAAAACATGGAACAACGTTATGGTTCTTTGCATAACACCGGACACGTGTTGCTTGCGTACATCAATGATCCGGGTCGTGCGAACGACGCCGGAAATGATCCAGGCGTGATGAGCAGTCCACGCGTCGCGGCACGTGATCCAGTATTTTGGAGATGGCACCGTCATGTTGATGATTTGTTTAATAGGTGGCAAGATAAATTAGAACCTAATAACTTCTCTGATGCACCACCTGTGAATGTTAAAGGTATCATTCTTGTATATAAAGATAAACTTCCCATTAGTCATGGAGCAACTCAGGACAAGCAGGCAGCCGATTTTGGTGAAAAAACATTTGGAGGGAGTAACTTTGGAGCGGATGTATCAAAGAATGAAATTGTAACGACTGAATTACAAACCAAAATGAAACGTAGAAATTGGACATGGGTTGAAGATACAGGCAAGACCGATACGATTGAGTACTTATTCCCACGAGAGTATTATTATTATTTCCGTGTCGAGAACACTTCTTCATCCCAATTGGATGCGACGTTCCGCGTTTTCTTGGCACCAGAAGAATTAGCTCATTCGAGACGTCATTGGATTGAAATGGACAAGTTTAAGCAAACTTTGGCTCCCAAATCTAAAACCGTGGTATGCCGTGATTGTGATATGTCATCGATCGTTCGTCAACCTCCGCAGAAGACCGAAGATGAATTAGACGATACAACAACTCCGCCTGGAACGGTGGAATCTTTGAACGAGAAATATTGTGATTGTGGTTGGCCCTTCCATCTTCTGCTGCCCAGAGGAAGAAAAGATGGATTGAAATTTAAATTATTGGTGTTCATCTCGGACTGGTCTAAAGATAAAGTACCAACAATGAGTAGGTGTGGAAGCATTAGTTACTGCGGCGCTGAAAGACCCGGTGATAAATATCCTGATATCAGACCCATGGGTTATCCATTCGATAAACCGTTCAAAAATAATTCTTATGAAGAGGTAAGGATAGATCTCCAAGAAATTTGTTACTTTTTTTGTTTTATATTGCGAGGTTTTTATTAATCAATATTTTTATTTTTTAAACTTAGACGTTTGCAAATTTACATAACGCGTCAATTAAAGATATTACTATTCGTTGGGTTGACGATTTCCCTGAAATTGTCACCAAGGCATAACAATAGTTATCACTTGTACATATCATTAACACTTTTAATTTTTTTTTTTTCTTTTCACACTTAAACCTAATATATTTTTTTTTGAATTTCATGAGTTCTTCCTATTACAATTTTATTCTTTCTTATTTTTTCAAAAAAAAATTACAAAAAAAAACTATTTACTATTAGTTATGTGAGTTTTAAGATTTTTACATTAAGATTTTTTTTGATCGCAATTTTTTTTACGTTGTCTTTTTCTTAAGTATTAGCGCTATTATGAATCGTTTTCTTTTTTTTTTTTTCCCCTCAAGCTAGCATTGTATATATGAACAGTTTATTTTTTTCTTTTTTACTTTTTCACTTTTTTTTTTGTTTATTCAATCAATCATTCGATCGAAATTATGCATTCCAAAGGGTTTTGGCCAAACTTTTTCGGAATATTATGTGTACACAAATGTAATTCAATAAAACATCAGAAAAACTTGTAAAAAAATTTTATAAACAAAAAACAAATCTTTTTCGAGCTTGCTTATTTTTTTTTTTTTTTTTTTTTGAATTGAAATGAATGATTTATTAATCACTTTGTTTCTATCAGAATTCACGCGAAACAGGTAAATAATAATAACCACGCAAATCAAAAATTCAGATGTAAACATTTAGGTAAAAATATCTATCACTAGGAAACGGGATCGTTGCGAGTCCTGAGCGAATTATTGGACGAAAACACGTGGCGGACAGAGAAACGCTCACATGACCAAAATTTACTCAATGCACAGAAATATATAAATAATCCTTCGCTTCACTTAGGGCAACGACGCCTAAAATTTTTCTTACCAACCGTGAAAAAAAATAAAAGAAAAAAATTTTTATGCGCGCCTTATAACTACAATTTATTCCACGAAGAGAATTTAGTTTGAGGTTTTGAGCATAAAATAAATATTCACGAAAAAAAAAAAAAAAATAATAATAGTGGCTTTAAGCCAAAGTTTTACAGGATAAAATATACAATATTTTTTTTTTTATTTTTTATTTTATAATTTTTTTTTTTTTTTTTTTTTACGTGAAATTTGAAAATAAAAAATATTAATATTAATACTATTAAAAATATATGTAAAAAGTAAACGTTAAAAAAAAATTATTAATTATTTTAATTATAAAGTTTTTTTTGGGGGGAAAATTGTTTTTTTTTTAAAAAAAAAAAGGTAATAATTTGGAATCCTATGACCGAGTGAAATTTGTCGAAAGTAGCCGAACATTGAAAAGATCAAAAAATCTTGCTTTTGAATCCCCTTTGTTTTGTTTCTAATTGGCTACATAAGTAACCCAATCAACATCAAAATATTTCTTTTTGAACCAACTAGAAGGTTTCTTTAACTTCCTTTGTCTAACGCCATGATTCTTGGTAATGTAATAATAATATCTATCATCAACGAAATAATTTATATAGGCAGGTAAATAATCATTCGAATTACAATATAAAGCTTGTAATTCGATGGGTATCAAATCAATATGTGATGGATAGATGGAAGGTGGTTGTACGGAAATCGAAGAGTGCGAAGAATTCGATTTAATAGATGAAGCGATTGTTGATGATCTAGCGACTATAGAAGAAGTCTCTAAAGAAGAAGATTGAGGAATGGTAGAAGGCATCTCACAAGATGGTGCGGATGACGCAAATGTAACGGAAGGAGCCTTTTTCGGTTTATTAAATTGTGCAGATAATCTTGAGTGAGGGGTACCCACATTAAGAATTGAATCGCTTGGGGAGTTATTGAAATATGAAGTTTGAGAATAACCATTGTGGATTGACAGTTGAGATGAATTATTAAGAATTGAAGTTGGCGGAGAATTATTACTGAGATTTGAACCTGTCCACGTAGTCGCAGTTACATAAGAATTCCTTCTTGAACCGATCACATTTGATGAGGTTACCGAAGATGGAGGCGATGGTTGTGATGCGTATAGGCATTCACCGCATGAGCAGTTCGAAGGACTAAAGCATGGAGGTTTATAATAATCCGGGATTTTAAGCTCGTCCTAATTTTCAAGAAAATTCATTAGTTTTCGAGACAATATATAAATTTAAATAAAATTATAAATTACCTTGTCAACGCGTTTAATCACAACCTATTATACACATACACAATGTATTTAGGTAAGTAAACATATCAATCAAAACAAAAAGATAGGAAAGGAAAAAAAAGTAAATAAATAAAATTATATCACACCTTCTTTTTATTGACATTGCATCTAGCAGTCACAGTATAACTGGTTTTTCCTTTTCCACAAATAACTTTGCATGGGCTAAACACTTTATAAAAAAAGGTTGATTTCCTTCCACTTTCACTTTTAGATTTTGAACAACGAATAATCTCATAATTGTATTTGCTCGAAGATCCATTCAATTCTTTGACGATTTTAATATTACAACAAGACTCGGATTGTTCGGGTGCGATGGATTGACGACGACTTATTTTAGCCGCTTTAAGCAATGATTGTGTTTGAACTAAGTTATCCTCGTAATTGCTATCTTTAAGGCTCGGTTTAATGGGGCTATTTATTTCACTATGCATTCGATGAAATTCTAATCTCGGGTCCATTGTAGAATTTGTGGTAGCGTTGTAAAAATGGAAAAAAAATTTTTTTTGTTTATTTGACGATGATGATTTTTTTTAATGTTGACACGACGTCTCACTTGATTTTAAGATTTAAGAGAAAAAGAAAACATGATCTATTTTTTTCTGCATAGAGAATTTTTTTTTATAACATCATTGTCCTTTCATTTGATTCCAAATTTAGAAACACGACAATTAAAGGAATGTCTTGAAAGAATATTTCAAAAAAAAAAAATTTATTACTAATCAACTTATTTAAATTCCTCTTTCAAATTTATATTTTGTTGACATTCTGTATTGGGTAATTTTATCATCGGTAATTTGCCATTACAAATGGAAAAAGCAGAGTAAATGATCATTATATTAAAAAAAAAAAAAAAATTTTTTTTTTTTTAACTTTGATATCCTTTTTTCCTTTCATTCTTTCATTGTTTCATTATGGTAGATCCTTTACCTTTCTTCCTGGCAATATAAATCATAAATGTGCATTCATTCATATTTTTTTTTAGGATAGCTTGGTCGTTCAGATAATCTATATTTAAAAATTACATAATCAAACATTGCGCAGATAACTAATGATGAAAATACATGTATATAAAGGCAATAAAATATAGTTCATCTTATGTGCAAACTCAACGTGAAAATTTGGTTTTCTTTCGTTGTGGGGAATCCTCAAGTTAAAATCAAAATATTGAACAAGATAAAAAATCGAAAAAACGATTTGAGAATTACGTGCGGAAGCAAAGTTCCTTGATGTGATAATAAGTTGTCTTTAACAAACTTCGCCTTACGCACAAAGTACGGAATTGAAACCGTATTAAAGTAAATTAACTCATAAGATACATAAGTATCTTTGTGTAATTTCATTTATTATTCTTTTCTTATATTTGTCAAAAAAAATTATCTAACGACTCCGAAAGGTTCGTATCACATCCGAAAACTTTCGGTACGGATTGGAAAAATTTTGATCCGTAAAATTAGGTTCGAATCGTTTTTCTATCCAAACCGAACCGAACCGAACCGTTCCGTTCGATTAATAGTTCGTTCCTTTGATGTTTTATGATTGGAGATTTAGATGCATCTTTGAAGGGAGATTCAAGAATTGAAATTATCAAGGTAATTGATGGAATACTCTGAAATATTTTAAATACGCCTCCTTGGAATCAACTCATCGACCGGTATTTTATTTTTGTGGTTTGAATTACATATGAACCTGATTTTCAACTCGTTATTAACCCTAACCCATGTTCAAAAATCGATAATCACATAATGATGTCCATTTTTATGAGATTTGTTCTTAATTGGGATAAACCATAGGGTAAAGATTATCCGGGTTAATGTTAAACCCAGAAAAAGGTACTACCTTCCAAAAACATCAAAAGATTACGGGAAAAAAGATCCGAAACGTACATCACAATTTTTTTAAATCAGGGTAAATTAAAAATCGAAAATTTTTTATTAGTAAAATTTCTGAACAATGTTCTATTGTTTTTTTAATTGCTTATTAAATTTCCTTTCTTTTTTTTTCGCTAGGGGTCTTTGCACCTTTTTTTTTCAATATAATAATAAAAAATGGTTTCACACCTTGATAGAAATTTTGATTTAATTTTTGATCATCCATTCCCAATAAATATAACAAATATTTGTTTATCATTATTATCATTATTAGATTATTAGATTTTAGATTGATTTTGAGATTATTTAGTAACTGTGTTTGTATTTAATTGGTCACTGGCGCAAGCGTAACAAAGCAAAAGAACCTAGACTTGAAATGGGCAAAACCAAATTTATTTTCCGACAATTACTACGAGGAAATAATAAATGAAAAATGATTAAATATCAACAGCAACTATGGCTCTAACGGTTCCCCAATTATCGTTACCAATATCTCTAACTTTCTTATGAATGGTATCTAATTCAAGCAATTGAGATCCGTCCACGACGTAAACGTTATGACCAATAACGGTAGCAGACTTTACACTTGACCAAGATCTTTTAGAATCATCAGATTTGTCATCAAAAAAAGGTGTGCTCTTTCCATTTTGAATGTTAACCTCCCATAATCCATAACAAAAAGCGATCAATTTACCGTCAACTTGGACCAAAGCCCTACAGGTTGACCAATTATCCGAGCCACCTCCCAATTTCTTTGGTTCATCCTTACCAGTGCTGTCAACGCACCATAAATTATTTGCCGAAGTGGTGGCAAAAATCTTTTGACCTACAATCGCTGCGGCGTTAACTCTTGTCCAAACGTCCGTAAATCCTCCTAGAAAATCCACACAATGACCCGTACTTGGATCATCGATTAACCAAAGTTTGTGACAGAATGCAAACAATTTATCTCCTCCATTTGGCACCGCCACCAAAGCGTTACAAGTTCCCCACCCGTCCCAACTAATCTTCCTTGCCTCTTTATTATCTAAAGAAATTTCCCAAAGATTATTAAATGATGTCGTGATATAAACTTTACGAGTTGAGGGAAGTAATGTCGCCGCTGTAGTTGTAATCCAATCATCTGAATTATATGTTTGATATTTTCCGTCTTTCGGATTTACAAGATAAATTTCCCGGCAAATGGCTAAAAGTTGTATCATGATGACGACGAATGATATAAAAAAAAAAAATAAAATAAAATAAAATAAAATAAAATTTTTAAAAAAAAATTTTCTTTTTTTTCTCACACTGTATGTTGAAAGAAGGAAGAAAAATTGATTGTTGAAATAAAAATGAACGACGTTATTATCTTATCTAATGGTGAACGAAAAAATCTGTGAAACAAGGAGTAAAGGCGCTATTACAGGTTAATTCCAATTCATGGGCCCTTGCATTATTTTTCTATTTAAGTAATTACCCATGAACGTCCCATCATCACTTAATGAAAGAATTAATAAAACCATCTTTACTCTTTTTTTACAATCGTGGTTTTCCGAAACCATAAATTTAAAATCTCACGTTCCTTTTTAAGAAATCATAATAAAAAGAAAAAAAAATTTTTTTTTTTTTTCCTCTGATACTTCAGGCATTCTGTTTTTAATGTCTAATAAAAAATATTTTATACATACATTAAAAAATAAATGATTTTAAAAAAACCTTTTGCGGTTTACGTGTCAAATCCTTTAATATTTTCTAATGCGTTAACGTAAACAATTTTTTAAAAAAGAAATGAAATACAAAAATACGGTCTTTAATATTGTAAAGAATGATTTCATCAAAAAAGCCAAAATTTTAATTCGAAACAAGTAATCATTTCGTCATTTTTTTTATTCCCTAAAAATGTGATGAAAATTCTAATGATTGAAGCATATTTCCTCTTAAAGAGAAATGGATAATACGCAAGAAACATTATCGTTATCAATATAAAGAAAGATCGACTCAAAGGAGATTATCTCGTTCTTATGACCCGACGTATTATATAGATATTTCCCTTGTCGATTGAACATTCATCGTAACAAAAATTCCCTTGGATATTACATGAACCTTGTTACTGATCTCCTTAATGGTGTAATACATAAATCAAATATTCCAAAATGTCATTAGATCCCAGACTTCAAAAAAAAAAGTGCTTATTTCATTAATCGGCGCAGAAAAATCGAACTAGAAGATTAAATGAAAATACAAAGAAAATGTTGTGAGAATTAAATTTATTATTGATAAAAAGGACATATCGTTACTCATTTCACTAGGAAAATAGAGAACACTTTAGAATAAATATCTGGGAATATTTTTTTATAGAGTTCAACATTCATGGTAACCTAAATAAATGTTTCTTTCATGTGCAAATACATGAAAAATTCTTTAAAAATAAGCGCACTTTATGATACAAGTTTAAATTTGGGAAGTTAAGTTAATGATATTATTGACCAACCTTCTGCTAAAAAGAAAATTTTTACTACAATTTTGCTTGATCATTTTCTTGTTCTTGTTCGTTTGCTTTCAACTCTTCCCTAATTTCCATCAGCAAAAGTCCCAACTTATTAAAACCTTTACTTCCATCTTTCCGAGTAGCAGTACCCCAATAACTGTCGGTCGGTGAGTCTTCGGCCAATTTAGCATCTTTTGTGCTCAATAACAATTTCTTTAATGTTTGATGTTGAGTAAATTTGGCTTTTAAAGCCGTACGCATAACATCATCTTTAACTTGTTCCCAATCTGGGCGCAGGCCTTGGGCTTTACGTCCGTATTTGGCTGCTAATCCAGGTTTTGCGAAATCTTTGATTTGTTGTTGAACTTCAGGATTTGATGGAAATTTTTGAGCTGATACAAAAAAAAAAAAAATGGTATTAATTGAAATATTGAAATGGGAAATTATATATTATTGATTTTAAAGAAAATTTACCAAATTAAAAAATATTTTACCTTGAAAATAATGCTCAGTTGTTGGCCAAGTCTCTCCATCTATTAAAATTTCTGCTTCGTAAAAATTACTGAACTCCCCCCATTTTCGTCTTGAACGATAAAAACGTATTATTTTGTCTTTGCATGACTTCTTCTTCAATCGTTCGCTTCGCCTCATATTTAATAAATAGTTGATTATATTATTGTTTTTTGATGGAAAATAGGTATGATCGGTAGTTTATATAACATTACCGTTCCTGCGCCAACGCACGCCATTTTAGCTATGAGTCATTTTTATCAAGGTTCGTTCTTCAATGTGTAATCGTTTCGCATTCAATCACAGATTCATGCTATTATCCTTAAAACTTTATTTGGTAAGCATTCTTGTCACCTGAGTCCTTACAAAAAAAGGTATTTGTTTTTGATTTTTCTTTTGTCAAAAAATAATTGCCGCAGAATTACAGGTTTTTTTTTTTTTTTTAATCGACGTCTTTCACATGGCGTGATCGTACAATGCAAATAAATTTAAAAAATAAAAATTTTGAAAAATTTCGCATAGCCATGTGGCTCAGAAATCTATATTTAAAAAATTTAACATAGCCTGAAAATCAAACCGAAAAAATTTTAACCCCTCTCTTTTTTACACT